AAAGCCTCAGGAATCTTTTGCAGGTGTTTAGAGTTAATTAGTTGATTCAGATGATTAGGTTAATAGCTCGTTTAGAGACCCTTTTCATGATATGCTAATTTTTTGAGATAGGAATTTTGGGTTTTCATGAGCTGTATGCCAAAATCATCAGTATTAAAACAATAAAAGACCTGAAATATTTCAGTTGGTGTGCAATGAATCTAAAATATATGAACGTTTAATTTTTATCATTACATTATGGAAAATAATGAACTTTATCACAATATGCAAATTTTTTGAGAAGGACCTGTATATAGGATGTGTCTGTTTATCCCTCAAGACTTCTAAAAAAGGCAAAAAGAATTGACTTACCACAACGGCGGAAGAAAGAGAAGACGTTCAAACCTCTTGTTGATTTTATGATCCCGATACTTTGCTGGAAAGACGTTCTCGCCTGTGTCGGGGGGTAACCACTTTAAGGCCCGGTTCGATTGGTCTCTGCGCGTTATTGTCTTTCCGCGTGGCAAAGGGATTTTATTAAATGAAATACATTTTCTTATATATTCTCTTGTTATTTCATCTGACTCCATAAACAGACTGATCTCATGAAATGGCGTATGTATGACACGCCAATTCGTATTTCCATTTTTGGCGTGCTATCAACACGCATAATCGCTTTTCAGCGTGTTTATCAACGCCTTGACTTAACGTTACATTACTGTATATATAAATATATGACCTACCCCAACCCCGTCCCTAAACCTACCCGTCACTGGGGTTAATACCATTTATGAGTCTTCCCCTACTATCCTAGGAAAATAAATATTGCTCCACAGATGTAAATATACATTTTGCTTCGTTTCGCTCGGACAATTAACGGCGTACACATACACGCGGAATCACTCGGACATTTAACGGCGTACACATACACGCAAAAGATGACGGTTCGTTTCGGCGTGGACATACACGCGGATAGCTCAAAATGCGTATAGATAACACGCCACTTGACTTGAAAGTGGCGTGTATGTTTACGCAAAGTCATGATGTCATGTTGCCATAAATGAAAAAGTTTTTAATGATATCTGTGCATCATTAAATGTGAGCGAATGTTTGACTGTTCTTTTAACTCTTTACTGGAAATAATGTTAGAGTCGATTAGAATAAAATCAAATGTTTACAATTTATTATGTCAGGTAAATGTATTATGCAAAGTCCATAATCAATTCAAAGATAATCAATACAAAACATCAAATGCTCTGGAATAAAGAAGAGATGCAAACCCATTAAAGACATTAAGAAATACATGGAGCTGAGAGTCTCGGCCGCTCTGAAGTACAGAAGGCCCCGATCCTTTTGCTGTATTATTACATTATATAGCTTTTCACATGGAAACATTTGCTAACAATGGTAATTTGCATTCAGAGTTCACACCCTTTGAGGGTAGGAGACCATTTGTCTAGAGACCACCTTCCTTTGTGTACCAGTTATCTCTAAACTCTTAAAAAAACGTTATTACCTTTTTTTTTTTACTTCTTTGAGAATGAGACCTTTGTACCAGTCGCACTGAGACATTTCAAATGATACCAAACATGTATAATACTGTATGATAATTATACACATTAAATCATATAGATTCTTGTGTGAGTTTTGGTGATAAAACGAGTGGGGGATGAGGGGAAGAAATGTAGGTTAGGTGAGACTTTTGTCTCAAATGATGAGTTCAAATGGTCCTTTGTCTTCTCGAGGAGTGGTCGTTCCTCAACCAGTTTCTCCAGTCTTACAGCTGTGCGGAAAACATGGCAGATGTCTCAAATTTATTTTCTTTACTGCTGCAACCACATTTGCTCCGTTGTCTGTAGCTACACAAAAAACGTTGTCTTGAAGACCCCACTCCAGAAGGTTACTGCGAAGGTGGGTAGCTATGGCATCAGCTGTGCGTCTTCCTTCAAATCTAACAAAGAAATAAGATATACTCAGATGTGATTATTATGCACATAGGTACTTGACCGTTAAATCTGAAGAGAGTAATTTCTACACAACTAGCATTACCAAATAGAGTTTTCAAAATGACTTCAATTAACTCCCTGCCAGCAATTGTATACTATAAAATGCGCAGGAACACATTTAGGGTTTCAAGAACTTAATTTAAAAATAAGTCTCTATAAACGTTTAAATGATTGTATTTTAGAATCAATCATAGTAATCATTAGAATGATTCCTTTTACTCTAATATAGTAAATTTACTAATTTACTATAATATTTCTGGGCCAAAGTGACTCAGAATGATGGAGCAGGTCACATGTAATCTAACTGACTGTCACTTTAATAAATACAAATTCTGTCATCTACGTTTTTCAGTATACGGTGATTACTAAATTAATCAAATTATAAATACAGCCATTTAACATTTTGCATATAGGAGAGAATAAAACAAAACAGCATATTGAAATAGAGGGGAAATAATGACAAACGGGGAAATAAAAGTAGTTACTCAGACGTGCAGTGAGCTGGTCCTTCAGAGCTTGCTTTTCTTTTGTATATCTTTCAAGGATTAGTTGTTTTGTTGTTTGTCTGCATGGAATCCTGGACTTTGGATCAAGTGTATTCACGAATGCTCGAAAACCTTTATCCTCCACAACAGATAGTGGCTGCATGTCCTTGATTATGAACTCAATCAGCTTTTGATCTATTTTTTTGTTTGGGAAGACTGAGCTACAATGAAAGAACATTCATATAAAAAAAACAATGAGTGAAAAAATAACCCCAACTAAGGCTCAAATTACTACAGCACTATTGACGACAATTTTTATGGGATGATTATAAGGGTGTAACAATACATCGTATCACAATATCATCGCAATATAAAAATGCAACTATGCATTGTGGATAGTGACAATCTGTATTGTGTATAGTTCACTCAAAATGAAAAAAATCAAGTTTACAGAGTTTTACTGTCAATACTACATTAAACTACTACAGTATACATAATGTTCAATATAAATGTATAATAATGCAATGGGGGAATATTTATGGGACCTGATAATGCCAAATGTCTTATGTTACCAGTAAAAAATGCCCTACATTATTTTAAATATATCTAGTCAGTGACAAATGTAAGCCTATTAGTCTGAAATAATTCTGTATTTCAGGCTTCAGAATCATCAATATTTTTATTCTGTTGTCACTAGTGGGTTACCAGCACCAAGTCCAAGCCTATTCATTTCCACCCCCAGTGTAATACCAAATGTAGCATTTTAATCAACAGTAAAAAAAAAAAAGTGTTAACTCAATAATATCGTATTGTGAGATCAATACCATGATTTGTAACGTTATCGAATTGTGACATGAGGATATCATTACACCTCTAGATGATTATATAACAAATATTATATTATTGCTTAGTTTCTCTACACTAAATAATCTTTACGATAAATAATTTGAGTAAACACCTACCAGGGTATGGCATCTTGTGGCAACTGTTGTTCAATTGATGTCTGCATCAAACGCTTTTTCGGGGCAGGCGGAGTTTCTCTCTTCCCCATCCTCATTTTTTCCAGGGAATTGCGATTTGGAAAATATAAAACCCCTTCCTGAGTTAATGAGGCTAGGCTAAATCCTGACTGACCACAATCGTTAATGCTTGATTGAGCAGTTTTATTTACATTTTTATTAACATTTGATGTACATTCCTTTTAAACCTTCATATTGATCTGCTTATGTATCTGACGTAAAATGGCGCATCAGATTAGCTAATTGTTGTTACCTGATCCTCATCCGTCACCTCCTTTTTGTAGATGGGCCTAAGATGTTTTATCATTGGGGATGTTGTTTTATTATATGCTAATTGTTTATGGCAAATTTGGCATTTAACTTAATTTTTTGATGATTCTAAAGTAAAATAGCACCAGACAACCGATGTTGACCATGGTGACTTGTCCTAAACCACAACGAGTTAAGAGCAAACCCCGCCCAGCAACCGATTCTGAAGATTTCATTGGTCATGTCAATCATTGCGCTGATTGCCTACACAACGATGCAAAAAATAGTTAATACTAAACCCCTCATCCTACCCTAAACCATAACATTAGAATAGCAGTTCCTGAAGACATTACGGTGTCACGACTGGATCCATTTATGTTGTCTATACTTTTTTTTCTTCACAGGTGACTGTGATTGTGTTGACAAATGAAACCGCTACGGGGCGCAGTTTGTGCTTAAACTCTTATTGATTCCCAGCCCTATACCTGTAGCTCTAGTCTTCCTCCAGGGAATCATTATTAAAATGCTGGACTAGAAAGCAGATTTCTGCTAATCTGGTTTAAAGGGCCATTTTAGTCCAGGACTAGGCTTAAGGAAACCGCCTCTATAAATTCAAATGAATCATGTTATGTTCCATAATTGTAGCTAATAAACCATACACTGTCAGAAAAAAAGTACAATAGTTGTATCTATCGTCACTGGCAGTCCCGTACAAAAATTAACCATTTGGTATTTTTTTATGGTAACCATAGTTCCACTATAGTACTAGTAAAACTGCAGTAACCACAAATTACAAATCCATGTTTACTATTACAGCCATATTTTAACTCAAATTATATTTGTAGTAAAACCATAGCAGTAATCATAATGATAATCAATCAATAAATTAAAAATAATCATGGTTTACCACAGTTTTACTTATGTAACACCATGGACATTTTTACCCAATGGGGTAAGAAAAATGAAAACAAAATTATTTTTCGTATGCCATTGGCAGATAATTTGGCTTGTTTTAATTAATTCAGAAAACAAGACATAATATCTTGTCATTTTACTTGTCTAATAAATTAATCTTGATTTAAGATGTTTTAAATATATTAAGAAAAGCATTTTTTTCAGTGTAGTAGCCTATAATATAATCGATAGGGCACACATGCGCTGAATACCTCTGAAGTAACTTAACCACGGAACATAAACTGCTTACCCCGGTGTCGCATAACCTGCTTTCTGAAAAACCCTCCTGCACTTTTATTTTGGTGTGATCGTGTGACGTCATAAACATGCGCTCCGCTCCTGCGTCTGTTGTGATTCGGCTAATGAAAGGTTTGTGTTTTTAAACGTTTGTGATTTGGGGAATTTTAGGTTTTTAAATGGGAATTGTTTAATCAATGTATAGCATTTACAATTCATTAAATAATAATAAATGTAACATGTATGAATGTTATTTTTGGTGAGTAAAGCGCATCCAAGCATGAGTTGCAGAAGGGGTACGTCTCATTTCGCTCCCTATCTCCCCATGGTCGTGAAATGAAGTAGGCTATATCGTAAACTGTAATTCGGTCTCTGACAAGTAGTGATTGGAGATTCAAAGCTTTGGAGCTCTCGAAACGGTTTCAAAACGGTGTAAATGCAACGAAAACAATACAAGTAACGTTAGCCTATAGACATTTAAAACTAACTGATTTCCCCCCTATTAAATCATATTAAATATTATCTACAAATGATTAAATACCAAATATATATCATAAATGCTAAATATGACGAGTCTGTAAAAGCAGAATGAATGTTACGAAATGAATATGTTTAGCCTATACAATATGAATAGTCTAGCAAAATTAATTTGTAATATATTAGGTTTGATCGAGACATATAGCGTCTGACTCCCTTACTACCAGTTCACCAACTAGGGAGCTAATTGCGACGTACCCAGAAATTTAGTTTGGATTTATTTTTCTTTCTTTTAATTATTCACATCTTAAACAAAGTGTCTAAACACACAGAAAAAAAACTCCTGGTGAAGCAACTGTGATCCATGTGACATACTATTATAAAGATGGCGTTTATTAAAGAGGAGAGTGAAGACGTGAAGATTGAAGAAACATTCAGAGTGAAAGAGGAAGATACTGAGGAACAAACAGGTTGGTTTTATTCTCAAAGCTTAACTCAGTCATTTGATCCTTATTAAAATGTTGACCTCAAAAGTGCTCTCTGTATCAAATCAGTAGCTGTGTCACAATTGACCTTTCGCCGGCCCCTCCCCCAAAACGGCCATTGTCCAATCACACATCATAGCAACCGTTACTATGTGAGCAGGTCCGTCAAACATTGACTCCAAGCAAGATGGTGAAGCGGTGTGCCCACGGCCAATAGATTGTCTGGAGTACCCCGATAGATACCCCGAGAGATTGTCTGGAGGATAGGGATGGGCATTCGATTAAATTTTCTTAGTCGATCGTCGGGAGAATTAACGATAGACTATCGATTAATCATTAATATTTTTTATATATTAAAATTAATTATTTATTTAACTTTTTATAAATTAAAAATGCAATGAAAATACAAAAATACAGCGTGTTTTTCCTCGATGAGATCTTTATTACAAGATAATCAACTTGCGGCAGTTAAACTGGACATTCGGCTAAACTTGAAATATGCGCTGCGGTGCTCTAAAAAGCAACAAAACCTGCAGCTGCGAGTTGGCGTCCTCAAACAGAGACCCGATCGTTTGTTCCAAAATAATAATGAAAAAAATCATGTTAAACAATAACTTAACCAAAAACATAATAATACTCAATGTAACTCAAAACTATCCAAGGTACGAAGTCGAGAAAGAGTGTGAGAGAGATTAGCCTACCTAGCAACAAATTAGGCTACTTAACAAAGCCTCAAAAAAAATATCTATTAACTCACATAAAACTTCTGCACCAGTCTACTGATTTTTGTTGAGAAAGATAAGCATGTTGATGACATGGACTGGGCCTGGGGTCAGACGCGACCGCAACATTGTGACCGTCAAGCCTCGTTTATACTTTTGCCTGGCTCTGCAGCGTGAGTCTCCGCAAACGGACGAGGCGTTTATACTCCACGCGCTCGCCTGTAAAACGCCGAATACCGCAATGACGTCATTTTTGCCTCGCGCACCTTTGCTCGTGCTTGTGCGGACGCGTCGAGGTCGAGTGTAAACAAACTCTTCAGTCCAGCCGCCGAAAACACCCGCTCTGAGGGGACTGACGTTGCCGGGATGCACAGGTACCTCTGCGCTAACTTGACCAGCCCGGGAAACAACTTATTCCGTTCACTTTCCACCCGTCTGCAGTGGTGCAATCCAGCGGTTCATTGCTTCAAGGCTCACATTACGCAACGCAACCATATTACATTTACATTTACATTTAGTCATTTAGCAGACGCTTTTATCCAAAGCGACTTACAACTGAGGACTAAACCAAGCGAGTCATCGTGAAGAGGCAAAAGCAACGCAAGAAGTGCTCAAAATACAAAGTTCAGACATAGCTCGGAGTAGCATAAGCCAGGCAAGCGAGGATTTAGAGGAAAGGATTTTTTTTTTTTTTTTTTTTTTTTTTTTTTATCGATAACAAATTAACATGATCGACGAAATTCTTAATGATCAATTATCGATCGTCGATTAATAATGCCCATCCCTACTGGAGGAGTTGCGTTCTTTCCGATTCCAAAGCCGAAAACACAACGTGAGCGGTGCCTACAATGGATAAAACAGTGTGGACGGCCCCAATCCCAGTTAAATGTGTCGAACATGGTTAACTCGCGTGCAGCGTGCGTGAGACTTGAGACACTGAGATTAGTCAAAGAAACATGGAGAAAGCAGATCAAGAGGATCCACAAAGGAATTACGTTTTCTAAAGGGTTGTTGTTAACATGATATTCTCGGGGGGAAATGAGCAGCAGTCAACTAGCAGTGCAGCACCATAGACTACAGTTTAGAGGAGTGCACGCTCGCAACGGGGAAAGCATGAAGCTTACTTAACAACATCAGTTCATATATCAATATCGTAACAAATAGAAATAACCTTAAATAATGTATGGTTATCTCCATCTTTCCGTCTCTTATGTATAGTTACTTTTTAAACACGAAAATTGCATTCAGCGTGACACGCAAGCGGTTGCCGTGGTAATGAACAACCTGCTTGTTAAAGCGAATGTATAATCCTGTATCTGAGGCAAAATTACTAAATATGCAGCGCGAGTTATATATTTCTAACTCCAAACAGTTAGCCACTGAACCAGCTTGTAAAATCTTCTTCAAGGCTGTGCTGGTTGCATTTGAGGTACAGGTCATGGGGTTGCTCAGATTTTGCTTGAGACCGGTAAACATTAGCCTCGATAGTTGTCGTGTCTCCATTGCGTATTTTTATATTTTGAATATATCCCTCCACTGCATACAGTAACCCCTTTTGCCTCGATCTGGAGCATATAGCTGAGGTATTGCTCCAAAAAAGGTCACTGACACGCACGGGTATACCTCTTTCTGTCATGGTAATCTGACACGCTGGTCGTTTTTGACCATTTGTTTGACGGGCGTAGTAACAATAACTATATTCAAAATATGATATATTCAAAATTAACCACGTATTATTACATTTACGCATCTTTGAGAAATAAAGTCACCATGCAGCTTTGAAAAGCAAAAACAAATTTTTTCCTAAACCTAATCAAAGAGGCGAAAGGTAATTGTAAAAATCTGTGGAGGAGCATGGATAAATTATTGGGAAGGGAAAAAATATATCAGGAGCACTTACAGCTTAAAATTAATGGAATAGTTCAAAATGAGGGTTCTACTCTGGCTAAATATTTTAATAATTATTTCTTGGATTCTATCTTAGACCTGGCGGAGACTTTCCCTGAAGTGAACTGCCGCCAAGATGATCATGGGGATGGCAATGCGTCTTATTGTAGGTTGCAGAATATGAAGATACAATTTTCAAAATAATAGCAAATTTAAAAAAATAGTAAAGCAAAGGATATATTTGGACTTGATACATCATTCCTAAAAGAAAACAAAATTACTCTAACTCCTGTGCTCACAATAGCTGTGAATCAATCCATAAATGAAAACAATTTTCCTCTGGCGTTGAAAAAAGCAGTAGTTAAGCCGATCAGGAGACAAGCTCTGTGTGGCAAACTACCGACCTATAAGTATTCTACCAGCCATCTCAAAGATCTTTGAGAAGGTGGTGGCAGAGCAGCTAGTAGAGCATCTCGACCACATTGACTACGTTTACATGCAGCCAATTTTCGGGTTATGGTCGGGTTAAGGTCACTATTCGGGTTTCTGAAACATTAGGAATAACCCGTTTACATGCGTGAGCAGAGAGAGTTTCTCCTGTATACATGGAATTGCAATATCCCGATGTAAACGGCGACGCACGGTTAGCGTCAAGACGTACGGACAACCTTAAGCCGCAATATGCGTCATTTCCGATTCTTCTTCCTGTATTCAAAGACAACAACAACAGCAGCAGCAGCACGCGGATAATGAATAGTTCGGGGCAGATAGCAATCGCCTTTGTTTGCGCTTTGGTGCTGGTACTGATCTCGCTCCAAAAGTATGCTGTGCTGCGTCTCGCCATGTTTACTTCCGGTATACTGCACGCAGGTTTTTGTAAGCGCCGAGAAGTTCCTCTACTCAAAAGACCAAGATTCCTTGCGAATAGAACATGCGCAGAACACAAATCACTATGCCGATGTGCGTTTTTTATTTTATTTATTTATTTATTTAGTTTTTTATTTAGTTATTTATTTTCGAAGAAAATGTCGGCTGAGAGTTCTTCTGTGGCGGCCGAAGAATACATGTATAAAAATGTAAGTATTGTTTACATTTACTCAAATGGCTAGCGAAACAAGGGCCACGGGTCTTTCTTTCGTAAAAGCGCGGCTTCATTTGTTAGGTGTTCTAAGGCCAAACTTGTTCCAATCGTTTTGTTTTAGGGAGCAAATAGCAGACAGCTGAGTTTGTGGCCAAAAATTTGTATTTATTAGGGCAGCACAATTTGGGGAAAATGTCATATTGCTATTATTGAGGTCAATATTGCAATTGCGATATTAAGTTTATTGACAACTTGTTACAATGTGGTACTGGTAGGCTACTGTTTTTATTATAGTTTCTATGTTTTATTCATAGATATTTCTAGCTTGCGGGAGTCCCGCGAATCGTTTTATTCTCCCACAACCGGTACACACAGAGTGAGTGCATTACCGCCCGTGCTCCCTTTTATGACGTCATCACCCAGTTACGGTAAAAAACATGCTACCTTTGAAGAAACCCCAATAAATGTTACTTTAACGCATTTTAAGACAGAGATTTTTAAATGTATACATATTAAGCACTTTAATTTACACATTAATTTGTTGTGGTGGTTAACCTGCAATTTACACTTTAAACCCTGTGTCTTGTTACAGTGTTTGTGGGTTCTTGATGTTGTTAGATGTTAGTTGTGTCGTTCTCTATGTCTGAGTTTTTGAGTCTGTCTAGTCTTTTGTTTATTTATTAAAAGTACTACTGCTGCATTTGGATCCTGCTTCCTTCTATGTTCCAACCGGCCACGTAACAGTGGTGAGCGCACTGACGCCATTGTGGCTGCCGTCGCATCAACCAAGTGGTGGTGGCTGAGGAGAGATCCCCTGATATGATTGTAAAGCGCTTTGGGTGTACAGTAGTACATATGAAAGCGCTATATAAATGCCTCATTCATTCATTATATTTATTTATTAGGGGTTTGTATCACGGTTTTAGGATTACAGTTTCCGTACAGTTTGTTATATGATTGTAGGGGTGGGCGATATGACAAATCTTAGATATGAGGAATTTTATTTTACAATAACGATATATATCACAATATAGATATTTTTGCTTTAAATAAGGTTATGATATCAAAATTTGACACCAGCATTAACATTTAATAATTATCACCATTTTCAATATCATTAAAAAAAAAATACTAGCCTAAAAAAAAACTCAAGTTTACTGAAGACAAGTAAACAGTGATAAAGAAAGAGAAAATAAAACAGACAATAGAACAGACACCAATGAAAATAGACCTACCTGAAAAACTTCAAGCACTAGAAATGCTACATAAAATGTATAAAGTAATCAAATGTATATAAAAAAAACAATGCACAGTCTTTACTGTGTAAATTAAATGTGCATTTATTCTTATTAAACTTACAAGTGATTACAAGTGATACAAGCATTAATAATGACAGCAGGTAAATTTGGATGCTCTCACTTTAAGACCGACATTGTAAAACCATGATGCTTAAAAATGCATGCAAATGATAAGCTTTTGTGACCGCGCAACACCACATGAGCGTAAAACCGCGATGGAGAAGATAGTCCAAAATAAAACTCTACCGGTTGATAAATTTCTACTTGTTAATCAGGTCTACCAGTATATCGCCCACCCCTACGTGATTGTATTGTAATAAGGATATGACTCCAAATTTTAGATACCAGTGGAATTTCACAATTCTCCATTACAATTTTGATACCACAGCAAAAACTACAAGTCTAACTAACAAACATTTTAACCATTATTAAAAGGCAAGTAAACAGTCACTAATAAAATAAGAAAAAATAATCAAACTACAACCAACAGAACAAATATACAAATGAAATTTAGTTTTCAGGTACAGAAATTGAATAAAGTAATCAGACATAAAATAACATTGTACAGTCTTCACTATATATTACATATATACACTACCGTTCAAAAGTTTGGGGTCGGTACGATTTTAAATACTTTTAAAAGAATTCTCTTCTGCTAACCATTAGCACTAGCTTATTTGATTAAAAATACAACAAAAATCAGTTATAGTATTAAATATTATTCCAGTGTAAATCAGCTGTTTTCTGTGTGAATATATAGTAAAGTGTAATTTATTCCTGTGATCAAAGCTGAATTTTCAGCATCACCAGTGTCAGTGTCTTCAGTGTCAAATGATCCTTCACAAATCAGTATAATATGAGGATTTGATGCTCAAGAAACATTTATTATTATTATCAATGTTGAAACAGTTGTTGGTCTGTCAGTTGTACAGTTTTTTTTTTTTTTTTTTGATTCTTTGATGAATAGGAAGTTCAAAAGACTTTTGTAACATTATAAATGTCTTTACTGTCACTTTCGATCAAATTAATTAATCCTTGATAAATAAAAGTATTGATTTCTTTCCTCCAAAAAATAAAAATAAAATTCTCACTGACCCCAAACTTTTGAACGGTAGTATATACTACGTAAAAATTATTCAGTCTAGAGCAGTGTGTGTTTTTATAGATTTGTTTTTATTAACATTAAGGACACAGACAGCAGGAGGTATATTAGGCTGCTGACACTTAAAAATCTAATGCACAGGTCCAGTGTATTCTAGTCACACACACACAAATCTTCTCACAGCCCACACGAGTTCTCTTTCGTGTCTTGCTCTTAAATGTTTACATTGGCAAAGCTTAAATGAGTTTAGTTTTAAACACCGATATAACGTGTGCAGTTCAGGTCTCGCCTGCACTTGCGCGCTATCGACTCCCGGGTGGTGATGACGGCGTAAATGACTGGTCATGTTCGAGCATTTGGCACTCGCATTGAACAGTTTACAAAGAGTAACAGTTTTGTTCACGTTTTTTTCTCTTTTTTCCGCTGTTGTAATGTATTTTTTGGGAAGCCAGCAAGTGAATTTATCGACAGTGGAACTGTCTGTTTTACGCGTTGTTATTTTCAACAAACCAGATTATAGATGCGTCATTGGTTTTGAGCAACCGCGGTGCAAGTGCGTCCCGAACCGAGGTTGGAGAACGGTACGGTTCGATTTTTTACAGAGAACCGTTACACCCCTAGCATCTTTGGATGCGGAGCCGCTCGCAAAGTTAGTAGGGGTGTGACAAGATTTCGTGCCACAAGATTCCGCGACATTAAAATGTGACTAGATTTCTAATTGAGGTAAAAAGATATTCTGTGATATAGCCATTACGGAGCGTGAGGGTGAGATTAGCATAGAATATGATTACATTACCGCCTCTATTTTTATAGAAATAAAAAAACATTTCAGTTGGATAACGGTCGCTTCAATTGTAAACAATTGTAAACGTCTGCTCTCATCCAGCACGAGCTGCAGAGTCGCACACAGTGCAGCAGGAATCACAGTTCACGGATCACGTGACGAGAGTAAGGCGAGATGACTGACAAGACCATGCAGAGGAATCGTTGTGCAAAAGAGCCCAAGCACCTGATAAATGTCTTATCTTGTAGAATGCGCGCTCGGCACTGCCGCTCCCTATACACAAAGTATGTGTGATTGCGAATTTAAAGCGAAACGCAAGCTCCCTGACGCGCGCAAATTAGGCTACATACAATAGCCTGTCTCCCAATATCAAACCTATCTTAGGGTACGTTTACAGGACAACAATATGCTTCAAACTGAGAAGTTTTTCCCTTTCAGTTTTCCGCGTACAGATGACACTATTGTCAACTAAAAACGCTGTATTCTGCTGCCAGGCCATTAGATGGCAATGAAACACTGTAGACTGAACAAGTAATACGGATGTGTATGACATCATCATCCTCAGAGATTGGCGTTTTTTGTTGTTTACACAGAGACCGTTTTCAAAAAAATTTACTTTGAAGTTTTCAAAAGTTTGTGTTTTCAGGCACCCAAAACACCATTGTCATGTAAATGAGCGGTCAAAACTCATATAAAAGTTTTACGGTTTTAGTAGTAATCGACTACTAAAATTGTTTTTTTGATGGCCGATATCTTAGAGAGCGGGGTGGCCGATGGCTCATATAAACTCGATATTTATTTTATATATATATATATATATATATATATATATATATATATATATATATATATATATATATATATATATATATAGGCTACTTTTAAATGTTTTGATGTCTGTTGCTTTGTGCCATTAAACTTAAGTTAACTTATATTTGCCTTTTTTGCCCTAGACCTGATGCCGCTGAAAGAGGAGTCTCAAGAACTCAATGAAATGTATGAGAAATATCACTATGAGAAGAATCGTGATTCTGCCAATGGAGAAAAATACACACAGACTGAAAATACTTCCTTACGGAAAGAAGATTATTTCGCCTGCTTTCAATGTGGAAAGAGTTTCACTGAAAAAGGAAACCTTAAAGTCCATATAAGAATTCATACTGGAGAGAGCCCTTACACCTGCCAACAGTGTGGAAAGTGTTTTACTCAAAAAGGAACTCTTAAAAGCCACATGAGAATTCACACCAGAGAGATGCCTTACACCTGCGAACTTTGTGGAAAGAGCTTCATGCGAGAACTAAACCTTAGATATCACATGAACATTCACAATGGAGTGAAGCCTTTCTCATGTGATCAATGTGAAAAGCGTTTCACACGTAAAGTAGGCCTTAGTAACCACATGAGAGTTCACTCAAAAAATTGTTTTAAATGTCATCAGTGTGGAATGAGTTTCCCAGACATGAATCGTTTTAACAGGCATGTGATAATTCACTCTGGAGAGAAGCCTTTCAAATGCCAGCAGTGTGGAAGGGGTTTCAAATGTAAGAAAAATCTTAAGACACACATGATAATTCACACTGGAGAGAAGCCTTTCATATGCCATCATTGTGGAAAGAGATTCAGTCATAAAGTAAGCCTTAAGACTCACACAAGACTTCATACTGGAGAGAAGCCTTACACATGCCCTCAATGCAAAAAGAGTTTCACATATAAATCAACCCTTAATGCCCACATGAGAAGTCACACCGGAGAGACCCCTCACACATGCAAACTATGTGGGAAGAGCTTCTCACAGAAAGGAAATCTTAAGACTCACATGAGAATTCACACGGGAGAAAAGCCGTTCATATGTGGTCAGTGTGGAAATGGTTTCAGATGTAAAGTAACCCTTAATTACCACATGAAGATTCATTCAAGAGAGAACCGTTGTATTTGTCAGCAGTGTGGAATGACGTTCACAGACCGTAAACAACTTAAGGATCATGTAATAACTCATATTGGAGAAAAGCCGTTCATGTGTCATCACTGTGGAAAGAGTTTCACACATAAAGGAAACCTCAAGACTCACATGAGACTTCACACTGGAGAGAAGCCTTTCACATGCCATCAATGTGGAAAGAGATTCAGGCATAATGTAAGCCTCCAAACTCATGTGAGACTTCACACTGGAGAGAAGCCTTTCGTGTGTCTTGAGTGTGAAAAGAGTTTCACGTATCAACGAGACCTGAAACGTCATTTGCAAACTCATTCTGGAAAGAAATTGCAGTGTGATAGGAGGTTAACAAAAAGGGGTCATTTCAAAAGTCACCTTCCCATTCACTCTGGAGGAAGGCGATTTAATTGTGATCAGTGTAATAAAAGATTTATCTTGTCGTCACACTTACAGATACACCTGAAAAGCCATGCGGATGTGAGACCCTATTTGTGTTCTATGTGTGGAAAGAGTTTTAAATGGCTCAGCAATTTAAAATGGCACCAGAAAATACGTATTTGTGTGAGATCAAGGCTACGTGCACACCTCAGCTGAATGTGACCCAAATCTAATTTTATGCTACATTTTTTTGATCATTTTTAAATGATCAACTGATGCTCCTACAACGTTCCACCTTGGCATAGTCAATGATTTGGAGATGGCCGAGATTTGGAGGTTTTTTGCTTTCTTCACCTATAATTTGCGTTGAGGCTTCTTTTCCTTTGGCATGTGCATATGAATGCTTGCGACAACAACTGACAGTTTTCCAATCTTTCTCTGTTATCTCAGAATCACACCACTGGCCCTTTTTTTGTCCTCTTTGTGTGTAGGTTGAAGAGAGCAAACACACATTTGCATGGTCTTTTTTTATTATTATATTCATTTATTTCCTTCTGTTCAATATTATTATATTACTCATTATATTCCTTACTCTTGCAATGTTTTGCTGTTGCTATTTAGTCTTAAGTTTGTTTGGTCTTCATAATTTAGAGATAAGAGGGAGTGAGGTCATTTCAGTGTTTCTGCTATCACAGGATGATGTTGTGAAGCAGTTTGATATAATACTACGGATGGACAAAGTCTGACTGAGCATTGAGAATGAAACAACTAAGTTTATTCAATAAAATTAGCTCATTATCATCATTATTTTGTCTCCTGCTTTACTCTTACCTTGGTCTGTCTACACGACTGGGTTCCTGCGGTTTGAGACTGGGTGTAACATTTATCATCTTAAACTTCTCTTTCCATTTCTTTTCCACAGGAAGTTAAAACATGCAATTCTGTCAAATGTCATGTTCAAATGACATCCCAAACTGGGTCATGTTCCTCTCTTCCCAGAGTCCTATGTTCCCAAGATGGGTTTCAAAAAAGAAAATGTTTTTGACCCTAGACTTTGTTTAACTTTAAATGAACGTATAAGATAATAATATAAAAGAACAACAAATTAACTGTTGGAAATAGGGTTTCTGGAAACAAAATGGGAGCACAATCTCAAGAACCCACTCTTCCAACCAAGACAAAACAAAAATGAGAGAAAGTGAGACAAAATCCAGGAGCTTCTTAAATAGGTTGTCACAGGTGCTGCCTGTTTTCATTAGAGCAGTCCAGCCCACCAAGGAGGAGTCTCTGTCCTAGAATTCTCACAAAAGCAACTGAAGTTAAAAAAGGGCTATAACACCTCCACCCAGAAAACATTAAATAATCTGAATTATTTTATAATACATTTTTTTTAACGAACATAACCCCAAACTAGAGGAAAAAGCTAACAAGATAAATCTACAATAAATCAATTTATATGAAAAGAAAAAATACCTACTCATAAATAGGATTTAACCATTTCCAAGGGGCTACATTTATGAAAGAATCCAAAATTAGAAATTGACAAGATATCACAGGCGAGAACATAGCATGATGTTTCACACGAGACATTTCTCCATTCTCCTTTCCTTTAATGTGATGAATTTGTAGAGGAAAAGACTGCAGAAACAAACTCTATCTCACCAAGCACTGATTGGTGGTGCAACTCTGCTGTAAAAAGACTAAAGGATTGTGATCAGGCATCACCTTATTCGGATTGCCGTGGCTCAAATAAAGCTCAAAATGCTGGATGGTCAAAATCAACGCCAAAGCTTCCTTCACAATTAATTTATTTGATGGGAATTAAACCTTTTAGAAAAGAAACAAACTGGATGTTCAACACCTCGATCATCATCCTGCAAAAGAACAGCTTCAACAGCATTTTCGCTAGCATCCACCGCCAGTTTAAAAGGAGTCTTCGGGTCAAAAATAATTTTCGCCATTGGATGGCGGGCCAGAACAGTCAAAGGATAATTTAAAGAAATTAATTTATGAAAAATGCAAATAGAATTGCCTGTGACAGACTGTCACAGTGTCTTTTGTAACTGGTAGTGAGTTGTTACTCTTGTGTTAAATCCTGTAGTAAGACAGTCATAAACATTTGCTTGTTACACAATGGAGTCTAACTTATTGTAATCATTATTTGAAGTAGCCTACTTTTACACTCATAATTATTCCTTGGCATCCTTACGTACTAGGAATGCACGATATTGGATTTTGGCCGATATTCGATATGCCGATATTTTCAAACTAATTTTGCCCGATGCTGATACCGATATATTTGTATTTTTTTTAAGTGCAAAAAAGCTTCTATTAAAGTTCTCAGTCAAGAGCAGTGAGTGATTTCCTCTTTGTGTATTGTTGTTTTATTAACATTAAAGGGATAGTTCTCCCAAAATTTTTTATTGTCATCATTTACTCTCTCAAGTTGTTTTAAACCCAAATAAATTTCTTTCTTCTGTTGAAAATAAAAGTTATTTGGAAGAATGTGGCTAACCAAACAGTTGCTGTACTCCAGTGACTTCCATAGTGTATTTAAGCACAAGAAAGAAATGAATACAGGTTTGGAACAACATTAGAGTGAGTAAATAATGACAGACTTTTTATTTTTGGGTGCAGTATCTCTTTAAGGACAAGCGGCAGCATATTATAGATACTGTGTCTTTAAGAGCTGCACGCGACGCGTCTAATATACACGCATTTGACAAGCAGATTGTATCTGTTTGCTTTCACTTTAGACATAACCAACTTTGTTTATGTAAACCTTGTGTGTATTTGACAGTATTAGCGCAATAAGACTCGAACGATAACTTAGTCCAGTATGCAGCTCTGGCGCTGTTTGACAGGCTTTTAGTTAATGCGAGCGTCGGGTGTACGCGCTCAGAAAATCGCATGTTAGAACAGCGCATCAGCACGTGAATGACATGTTTAACTAGCAAGACTTAGACGCACATGCAAATAATGAACTTTTGTGAATTGCAGTGTCCCGTGAGTGTAACTCTCACATCACATCACATGTAAACGCAGAGGTAATGCACGTCGCGTTGTACAGTATGTTGAGATGAAGGCGCCAGAATTGAACATAGAATGCACGATGATTTTTCTTCAAAAGCAGATTGTGGAGACATTTTAATCTTCCACGATCAAAAACCTGCTGGCGCTCATGCTTCGTTCACGGTCGTCACGTGCGCATAGGAAACACGCCACCCTATCGGCAAGGCTCATCGGCAGAAATATTCATATCGGCCGATGCCGATGATGGTCATTTTAAGCTTGTATCGGCCAATACCGATGTTGTCTCGATATCATCGTGCATCCCTTTCACGTACTAAACTGCATTTTTTAAAATTGTTTGCGTGCTGTAGGTACAGTATTACATTGTGTGCAGAGTGATGTTAACATTTAAGCTGGTGAGAGAAAATGGCACTATCAAAGAGTTTAAAGAGGAAAGTTGACAGCGAAAATAGGGCATACAAAGAAGAATGGAAAGACAACTATGCGTTCATCCTACCTAGTTTTGTGAATGCAAAACGTGTCTTATCTGCAACAAATCGATCCAATTATCAATTCATCTCAAAATAAAACATTGCTGCAAAAATGTTCTCATACTATTATTTTAAAGGCAAAATCACTAAAGATGAAGTGATTATGAGTAACTGTTGCTGTCATGACAGATCTATTTTAGAACCAGCCGCTATAGAAAAAATATGGCTGCGGGCGCAATATTAATGCTGACGGGCCACCTGTTGCGGACCACTGGTCTACAGTCTCAACTTTAGCCCTAATTGTTTGAACTTGACGCTTCCCCACAATTTTGCCCAAATAAGTAATGGTAGCCTTGGTAAATTCACACTTGGCCAGATTAACCTGTTAGCATTCACACCCCCGCTTTTGAAAAAAAAATCCCAAGAAATGGCATACCCAAACTAAAACAGATACAGTTCATGAACCCTTTGCACTAAGAGCATAAATATGGTCTCATTTGAAAGAAGACGCTTGGGAGTTTATTGAAAATTAAGTATTTTCATAATTTAAAAAAAAGTTATAAATAGCTTTAAAGTTTTGTAAAGTTATTAGAAATTTATTTTTGTTTCTAAGAGTGACACAAGGTATACATCTTGCTTTTGGAAACATTGGACCCGAAGCCTGTATATGTTCTATAAATGATGCCTCATCCGCATCATTTTTAATTGTTTTGTATTGTTTTTTACATCTGTACTGTGTTGTCTCTATGGACCTCTGTGTCTTGAATAAAAGTTGATTGATTGATGAAATATCTTTATGAAAATAAATTTGAAGTTGGCATATTGTTTTAATCTATAAATGCACTGCAGCTAAAGCCACATGCCTGACCATGTTTTATTTCAAATCTGAAGATAAGTCTAAAACTTTTAGTTTTAGTTTTTCATAAAACATGAAAAGAGGCTGGCCTCATAAAACATGACCAGAGGCTGGCCTCTGGCGATTACGTTTTGGTTGCACCGGCAAAGAAAGAAAAGTCTGAGGTGTGGAAAACTTTTGACCATGTGCATAATGAGAATAATGAGCCAGTGTGTTATGTGAAATGCAAAAGATGCGACATTCTGTTAAAGTACGACAGCAAAACGACAGGGAATTCGTCGCTGATGTTGATCGTCGCTCATGTTGATCGAAGCTGTTCAACACCTGCCAGTGCCCAGGATCAACCTACAATCACATCGTTTGTTACAGCATCAAAACCCATCCCTGCAAAGGTGAAACAAACGGTGACAGGGAAGTGTGTCAGCTTTTGCTGTAAAGACATTAGGCCTTTTAATATCGTAAATGGCGAGGGGTTTGAAGAGCTGGCACAAGAACTAATTAATGTTGTCACGCGGTTCATGTAAGCCCCAATAGTTCCAAAACATACGCGGGCTATCATGTTCTTCTATGGACAGACAGCAGCGATTGCTTTATTAAACGGTAGATATAAAATAAAACACACACCCAAGTACTTTTTAAGCTGTTATTGCATTTTGTTAATGTCAGTTTTGCATTTGGAGAGGCAGGGTGACAACTTAGATAAGTTTTAGGCTATATTTTTGGAGGGAAAAGCTTAGTGTTCATGTTCGCATGGGTAGTAGCACTGGCTTTAGCGGCTCTAACTTAACTTTTCCATGTCATTTATTTGATGATGGACGTCTCATGATATTTATTTTAGCACAACTGGGCTGTATTAGGCTATTGATTCCCGTGATCTTGCTTATAAATTCCGATTCAGCCATTATAGCCTACCTTCGTGATCACGCAAAGAGGTCTGCAGTCCGTTCAGAACTCCAACCAACATAAAATATAAATAATTACGCTGTGCATGTACAAATGAATGATTTAGGAGGGAAATAGACTGCTCCCATAACGTAGAAAGCAACGACTATATACAGCAATGTTCGGTAAATAT